CTTGAAATCAAACCCAAGAACCCTTGGTGCACAGGGCGATGCTCTCACCACTGAGCCATGCCGACCAGGGCAGGATCCTCTCTTTCTAATTGGTTGTCTCCCCTCACTTAGCATATAATAGTTATGTTAGCTAATGCTTGTCGAATATTTACTGAGAGCACTGATGTGTTAACTCATTCCATCCTCACATCACCCCTGTGACCCAGGTACTACCATTCTTCCACATTGCAGGCGAGAAAACTGAGGAACGGGGGTAATGTTCACAGGAAAGGCACCCATGATATGTCTTCTCATAAAGATGCAGTGCACATATTCTGAAATCAGTGTGTGTTGGGAGGGGGTTCAGAAATGGTTAGATATTTTTATGGATTCAAATCGTTTCCTGTTTTGAGGTTAATGTAGAATTTCACATAATTGGAAGAGACATGGCTGGGGCATGCAGAGGTCTGTTTAATGATGTTCATTGGATGTCTTATTATTTTGTTTTTATTTTCAGACATCACGAGTTGGTTATACAGGAAAGCAAAGGAAAGTAGAAAATGGAGGCACATATTGAAATTATTATGGCAAACTCTTCCCTCACCCACTATACTCCCGCAGCCTCACCTACATTTTGGTCTCTTTACTAAGTATCTCCATACACTTTTAGAGCATCGGCCTTGAAGTCTGAGCAACTTGAAAGAAAGCCGTTCCTTCAAGAAAAAGAAAAAAACTGGCACACGAGTTGGTTATACAGGAAAGCAAAGGAAAGTAGAAAATGGAGGCACATATTGAAATTATTATGGCAAACTCTTCCCTCACCCACTATACTCCCACAACCTCACCTACATTTTGGTCTCTTTACTACGTATCTCCATACACTTGGCCGGTTTGACTCAGTGGATAGAGCATCAGCTCACAGACTGAAGGTTCCTGGGTTCGATTCCGGTCAAGGGCATGTACTTCGGTTGCAGGCTCGATCCCCAGCCCTGGTCTGGGCGTGTACAGGCGGCAACCAATGTGTCTCTCTCACATCGATGCTTCTCTCTTTGACTCTCCCCCTTTCTTCCACTCTCTAAAAGTCAATGGAAAAATATCCTCGGGTAAGAATTAACAACAAAAAAAGAAATAAAGTATTATATATAGTGCATGGTGTGTGCTAGTGTTCAATAAACATTGGCTTCTATTAAAGCTGCATCAAGTTAAAACAATCAGATTTATTTTTTATTTTCTTCCCGAGTCGTTTTTATTTATTTTTAAATATATTTTATTGATTTTTTTTACAGAGAGGAAGG